CCCCAAAACCCCAAAACCCCAAAACCCCACTGCAGAATATAAAAAATTGGATAAAATGTCACTTGCCCAGAAGGCTAGGAGGAAGCAGAGATTAATGGCTTATAGGAAGAAGAAGTTGTTTAGGAGGGTTGTGGAGGAATTGGGGATGTGAGGGGTTGGGAGAGAGGGTAATTGGAGGTCTAGGGTGGATGAGAGGGAAGGGAGTACTACACACCAGACAAACCCTAAATACAAATAAAAACCCAAGCCCAAACCATTTCACCAGCCTCCCCAATCTCCACCCCAAACACCCCCAATCCCCTCATTCTCCCCTCCTGCACCCCCCAGTCAGCCAAAACTTCGCTCTCCACCGCCTCATCACCCGATTTTCTGATTTCACCCGCAACAACCCCCTCAACCACCCCTAAACCCCAAAATCCCCCAACCTCCAGTACTCCAAATCCTCAAATCTCCAATACCCAGCTGTCCTCTACAACACAGACCTTCTCTCTCAGCCAAATTCCTGACTGTAATCCTCTATTTTAGCCTTATAAATATCTTCTAATTTTTGTCCATTGGTCAGATTTATTAAATTGTGGAGATACTGACTGTTCCCTGTAGCGTTCGCCCAGTCAAAGTGAGAGGGAAAGAAGAGACATAGAGGAAGAGAGAGGTATATAGAGACTTTTTAGATATGGTTGATGTGATTGATGTATTTTTATACTAAAATTAGCGAAACCAATGGTACAAATTGATTAAAATGGCCCTCAGTTAGAAAATCGACCCACCTCTCAGTGTTCCCAGCCAAGGGTATTTTCATGAAGGAGTTTAGGAGATCCTCAGTTGACATGTAAGGCTTAAAATTCCACTAATGATGTTAAGCAATCCCTCTTACCAGTCTATAGTGCATTTTGAGCAAAAAGGATCCCAAAAAATCTGGAAGATAAAGAAACTGACAAGTGAAGCCAAAAAGGATTTGATGGGACGAAGGAACCTCCGTTTAAGATCTACTTTAAGAAAAAGGGTATGAGCAGTGGTGACTTTTTATAGGAAATAGGATATCGAGAGAGGTTGGGTCTATGATACTGAGAACTGGGTTTAAAGAGAAGATATATTAAGAGGTCAGAAGAAGGTATGGTTTTGATATTTATCTTCAATATTAATGCCATATCAAGGGGTTTTGGGGTTTTGGGGTTTTGGGGTTTTGGGG